TATTCATTTGATAGTTGCATTTATACTGGATATTTGTGATGTATATTTGTGATAATATACATGGATTTTTTTGTATTCTTTATTTCCTGCCCTATTTACGTTTATTGGAAGTTAAACAGTCACTCAATACAAATAGTAAATACTCACAATACAAATAGTAACTACTCACACAGTTAAACAAGTAGACTCTGATTCAGTCTTGGGCAGCTTCCATAGACATAAGATTCTTATACTGATAAAGCCACACAAATACTTTTCATTTACTAATGATACCTGAAAACTGATGTCAACCAACGATAAACTGATGTCAAAATAAACAACAGGAAACCATGTAACTCCCAGAGACAAATAAGATTCTGATAACACCACACAAATTACTTTCCATCTGTTGAGAGGTGGGACCAAAGACCCAAAGCTCAACCCACACAGACACAAATGTAATAACAAATACAAATAGTAAACACACTCACGCACGTTTAAACATGTTTGACTATTGAGAGGCGGCTCCAAAGAGCTGAAGCTCTACTGTAAAACAAATGCAAATAGTAAATACACACACACTTGTTTAACACAGATGGGGCCCAGGAACTGAAGCCCCACGTAAGCTCAATTAGGGCTAACAAATAGTAAATACATACACACACACACGTTCAAAACATGTTTAAAGACAGGTGGGCCCAGGAAATGAAGTCCAACCCCCACGTAAGCATAACTGAGGGTTACACCCCTCAAACACAGAGGCGAGTACAACTAGGTGAGCTTACACTCACACGCGCACGTGCACACACTTCCACTGAGAGGTGGGGGCCCAGGAACTGAAGCTCGACCCAAAGTAAGAACATAAGAACATAAGAACAAAGGTAACTGCAGAAGGCCTATTGGCCCATACGAGGCAGCTCCTATTCTATAACCACCCAATCCCACTCATATACTTGTCCAACCCGCGCTTGAAACAATCGAGGGACCCCACCTCCACCACGTTACGCGGCAATTGGTTCCACAAATCTACAACCCTGTTACTGAACCAGTATTTACCCAAGTCTTTCCTAAATCTAAACTTATCCAATTTATACCCATTGTTTCGTGTTCTGTCCTGTGTTGATACTTTTAATACCCTATTAATATCCCCCTTGTTATGTCCATTCATCCACTTGTAAACCTCTATCATGTCGCCCCTAACTCTTCGCCTTTCCAGTGAATGCAACTTAAGCTTTGTTAATCTTTCTTCATATGAAAGATTTCTAATTTGGGGAATTAACTTAGTCATCCTACGCTGGACACGTTCAAGTGAATTTATATCCATTCTATAATATGGCGACCAAAACTGAACTGCATAATCTAAATGGGGCCTAACTAGAGCAAGATATAGCTTGAGAACCACACCAGGTGTCTTGTTACTAACGCTGCGATTAATAAATCCAAGTGTCCGATTTGCCTTATTACGAACATTTATGCATTGATCCTTTTGTTTTAAATTCTTACTAATCATAACTCCCAGATCCCTTTCGCAATCTGACTTCGCAATCACAACACCATCTAGCTCGTATCTTGTAACTCTATCATCATTACCTTACCTCAGAACTTTACATTTATCAGCATTAAACTGCATCTGCCAATCCTTTGACCATTTCAAAACCCTATCTAGATCAACTTGAAGTGATAGTGAGTCCTCCTCCGAATTAATTTCCCTACCGATTTTCGTATCATCGGCAAATTTGCAAATGTTGCTACTCAAACCTGAATCTAAATCATTTATATATATTATAAACAACAGAGGTCCCAGGACAGAGCCTTGAGGCACTCCACTTACAACATTTTCCCACTCTGACTTGATTCCATTTATACTAACTCTCTGTTTCCTTTGGTATAGCCATGCCCTAATCCAGCTTAATATAGCACCCCCAATACCATGAGACTCTATCTTTTTAATCAGTCTTTCATGTGGCACTGTATCAAAAGCTTTGCTAAAGTCAAGGTATACAACATCGCAATCCTTACCATTATCAACTGCCTCAACAATGCTAGAATAAAAAGATAACAAATTTGTTAAACATGAACGGCCATTTATAAAACCATGTTGCGACTCAATTATTAATTTATGTTTTTCAAGATGAAGACGAATTTTATTTGCTATTATGGATTCGAGTAACTTTCCCACAATAGACGTTAGGCTAATTGGTCGATAGTTAGACGCAAGTGATCTATCTCCTTTCTTAAAAACTGGTATCACATTAGCAACTTTCCAAAACTCTGGCACTCTGCCTGACTCTATTGATTTATTAAATATGGTTGACAGTGGGTCACAAAGCTCCTCTTTGCATTCTTTAAGCACCCTGGCAAACACTTCATCCGGCCCTGGGGATTTGTTTGGTTTGAGTTTTACTATTTGTTTAAGAACATCCTCCCTGGTAACTGCTAAACTCGTCAACCTGTCCTCGTCCCCACCCACATAGACTTGTTCGGCTGAAGGCATATTGTTAAGTTCCTCTTTAGTAAATACAGATACAAAATATTTATTAAAAATACTACTCATCTCTTCATCACTATCTGTTATTTGACCTGTCTCAGTTTTTAATGGACCTATCCTTTCCCTAGTCTTAGTACGATATAACTGAAAAAACCCTTTAGGATTTGTCTTTGCTTGCCCTGCTATGCGAACTTCATAGTTTCTTTTTGCTTTCCTTATCTCTTTTTTAACATTTCTAACCAGTTGTACGAATTCCTGTTCTAAAGTGACCTCCCCATTTTTAATCCTTTTGTACCAAGCTCTCTTTTTACCTATAAGGTTCTTCAAATTCTTTGTTATCCACTTTGGGTCATTAGTATTCGATCTATTCAATTTGTATGGTATACTACGTTCCTGTGCTTTGTTTAGAATATTCTTAAATAAGTTATATATTGAATCCACATCGAAATCCCCATTTAAGTCACCTATCGCTGGGTTCATGTCTCGCTCCAAGACCGGCCCACACCCCATACCCAAGACTTTCCAATCAATTTGACCCAAAAAATTTCTTAGGCTATTAAAATCAGCTTTTCGAAAATCTGGCACTTTAACAAAATTTTCTCCTACTGGTCTATTCCATTCTATGCTAAATCTGATTTCTTTGTGATCACTGCTCCCTAGCTCACTCCCTATTTCGATGTCATTAATTTGCGTTTCCCTGTTAGTTAACACTAAATCTAAAATATTATTTTCCCGTGTTGGTTCCTTAATGTGTTGCGTAAGAAAGCAATCGTCAATTAATTCTAGAAAATCTTTTGCTTCACTATTCCCTGTTTTGTTCAACCAGTTTATTCCGCTAAAATTAAAGTCACCCATGACATAAATACTGTTAGATCTAGATGCTCTAGATATTTCATCCCATAGGTGCTTTGCTTCCATTCTGTCTAAATTTGGTGGCCTATATATTACTCCTATTATAATATTATTTGCTTTTTCGTTTAATTCTATCCAAATAGTTTCTGTGTGTGGCTCTGTTTTGATTCCCTCTTTGAGACTACATTTCAAATTGTCCCTAACATATATGGCTACTCCACCTCCTCGTCTAATATATCTATCTGAGTGAAATAGTTTAAATCCATATATTTGATATTCAGCTAATAGTTCTCTATTTTCTACATTCATCCACGTTTCGGTAAGTGCAATAATATCTATTTTTTCTGTGCAGACAAGAGCATTTAATTCGTTAATTTTATTTCTTAGACTTCTACTGTTAGTGTAATATACCCTAAGTGAATTGTTATTTTGCGGACCTTCTCTTTCCCTGATCGTTTTGCCAATTCCTTTCTCCCACAAACACATACTTTTATTACCTCCTTCCTCCAAATCAATTCCCATACCTCTATCTACTAACAGTTTAAACCCAAACAAACACCTCTAACCACTTCTTCCAACGAGTTCGCAACAGCAACAACCCCAGCTCTCGATAGATGCACCCCATCACGAGCATACATTTCATTTTTTCCATAGAAGTGTTCCCAGTTGTCTATGAAAGATATTGCATTTGATTTGCAATATCTTTCCAGCCGGCAATTGACACCAAGTGCCCTCGATATCCATTCATTTCCCACTCCCTTTCTTGGAAGAATGCCACATATGATCGGGATTCCTCCCTTGCTCCTAACTAATTCTATGGCTGTTTTATACCTCTGAATCAGTTCCTCACTCCTAACTCGACCAACATCATTTCCTCCCACGCTAATGCAAATAATGGGATTGTTCCCATTACCAGCCATAATATCATTCATGTTGTTTATAATATCACCAATGCCAGCTCCGGGATAGCAAACCCTTAACCTGTTCCCCCTATCTCTAGCACAAAACGCTCTATCCAAATACCTTATCTGGGAATCTCCCACAACTAATGTTTGCTTAGGTACTTCCTTTACAAAGTATGCACAATTAGTGTTACACCACTCAAACACTGATGCCTATCACTGATAATCACATTTAAGTAGCTATGAAGTACTGATAAGCTCACTTATCTACTGAGAGGCGAGGCCCAAGAACTGAAACTCGACCCCCAAGTAAGCACAATTTAGGGTTACACCACACAAACACATGTCGTGTCATTTTGCAGGATATATTTGTCAATGAGTTGTGTTTATGAAACTACTATTATTACAATAAGATACTTCCTTATGCACAACGTTAGCCTAATCGGACGGTAGTTCAATGCAAGACATTTACTTCCGTTCTTCCAACAGCGGGATATCAACTTTAGCCAATGCAGTAGGGCATGTCACCCTCACGAACTTTTAGATTATAGTGAACTAGGTGTTTATTGGCAGGGAGACAATTGTAACATACCAATTGAAAAAGTAGCGATGAAATGTTGATAAAATAATTAAAAGATTGTAGGTTTTATTGTCAATTTTTATTGTTTATTTTATTATTTCTTCAATATCAAGGTGATATTGAAGAAACAGAGACCAAAGCATAAACGTAGATCACCTTTAAGGTATATTTCACAATTAGTGGGGTAAACGTAATTATTAAGTGAGTGCACTGGAGAACACGCAAGTAATATATATTAATTTAAATACATAAACATGAATGAATGTAGAAAACATGGCTTTAGGTTAGGTCATGACGTGTGACATATTGAGATGGAGAATAATCCAGTGGCCAGAAGAAGAACACAGACGAGGCTTTAAGGAAGTCAAACTATCAGCATATTTCCAGTTAATGTCATGACGGATATACATGTCGAGACTCATGTCGTGTTGTGAAGACAGGAGAAAATAAGCTCAATACAAAACGCCAGAAAACTGACAAGATTTCCCATAATGAGAATGACGATCATCCCCTGAAAATATGAAATTAAATCAATCAATTGCGCATAATTTTTGTATTGTATATTCAATATCAAATGATTTCAACATGCATTTTTAAAATATTAAAAAGATTCATTACCCAAACATTACTGATAGAAAGAGCAGTCTTGACAGTGATCTTGTTAGGGGCGTGATAACAAACAGTGGAGTTTGGTTCATCTGCTTTTACCCACTGGAAGTACAACCCAGCCTCCTTCACCGCCGTTATTCTAGGGGAACCAATAGTTTTTAAAATTATATTCATATATAAACAAATAAATAAATTCACACACACACACACACATATATCTATCTATCTATCTATCTATTGTGACGATAATCTCTTTCAAGAGAGATTGAGCCTGCTCTTCCCTCCAAAGTACGTCCCATTAACAAATAATATAGAAGATATATCCAACAAGTATCACCAAAACGTTTTTCCCAGAGAGCAAAACGTATCCAGCCCACCGGCGCACCTGCTCGCCTCCGCCACCGTTAACCGGCAAACTGCTTGTCCATCGCCTGCCTGTCGCTGATTGGCTGGTGCCCAGTCGCACCTGCCCCACCACCCTCCTCCACAAGTTGATGTCTGGGCTACAGCGACATAGAGAAGGCAGAATATCTCAGTGCTCCACACAGTTGACACGTCTCATTGGTAGACTAAGCCTTGGCTTACGTGTACTAAGGGAGGTGGCAGCTTGAAGCCAATATTCCTGCACTATTATTTACTTTGCTATTATTCACTTGTCTTAACGTAACTTCTCATTTGCCAGTGATTATTCTTATTATTTTGTTTGTTGATTTGTCTGTTACATTTTTATGCTCAATTTTATTATGTCTTGCTTTTCTAACGTAATTAAAATTTCATTGTTAAATTTACTTGTGTTTTGTGTGTCTTCCCATTACCTTACCACAGACGAAAGTTCCAGCTTTTCTCTTTTTTTTTTCTTTATGTGACGAGGCCATGCCCCTAGCTTTTGAAACAGCCGAACACCAATGCGTTACCGTCACACTATATATATATGTCGTACCTAGTAGCCAGAACGCACTTCTCAGCCTACAATGCAAGGCCTGATTTGCCTAATAAGCCAAGTTTTCATGAATTAATGTTTTTTCGACTACCTAACCTACCTAACCTAACTTAACCTAACTTTTTTTGATACCTAACCTAACCTAACCTATAAAGATAGGATAGGTTAGGTTAGGTAGGGTTGGTTAGGTTCGGTCATATATCTACGTTAATTTTAACTCCAATAAAAACAAATTGACCTCATACATAATGAAATGGGTAGCTTTATCATTTCATAAGAAAAAAATAGAGAAAATATATTAATTCAGGAAAACTTGGCTTATTAGGCAAATCGGGCTTTGCATAGTAGGCTGAGAAGTGCGTTCTGGCTACTAGGTACGACATTATATATATATATATATATATATATATATATATATATATATATATATATATATATATATATATATATATATATATATATATATATATATCCTTCCATCCTATAACCTGAGATCCATAACCTTTAGGCATTTGTCTTGTATGTTTTATAACTTTTAAATACACAATAAAGCAAAAAAAAAAGGAAAGGGGTGGTAGGAGAAAAAGGAGAAAAGCACACAGAAACTGTATTGGTGGGTACCTACATTCCCTCCAATGCGTTATGTGGGTTTTCCTCCCAGGCTATGGGTCCCCCCTTCTAACAGCCAGAAGTGGTACTCCCTTCCACATTTTATATATATATATGAGGAGAAATGAAGGTGTTAAGGCAGTCTTCTTTATGCCTGGTGTAAAGGCCAATCACATTAAAAAAAAAAAAGAGAAACAAAAATGTTCACTGCTTGGCGGTTGTCTCCTGTGGTAAAGTGAATGGGAAAAACACACAAAACAAATCTTATAAATAATGAACTTTAATTTACTTTAAAATTTACTTAAACAAATATAAACATAATAAAGATAATCCCTTGGTTTTGTACAGTGCGGATCAAAAATATATACAAAGACAAAACACAATACAAAATAAAATAAGGATTATGTTACTCTACAATACGCAAGACAAAAATTAGTTAAAGGTGCTTGGAATAGTTGGCTGGCTGAAACCTCTGCTAATATACAGGACGTATGCTTAGATAGAAGTGTCAGCTCGAGAGCACAAGAATATTCTGAGGCCAACTGCTTGTGCGAGACTATATATATAGACGATGCAGATGGCGCTGGAGTCGCGTGAAGTCGCTGATTCACTAATGGGGAGAGTGTTGGTTTGAAGCGTTTGTTTGCTGATCGACGAGGTGGTGCGCCGACAGTGAGGGAGGGGGTTGAGGAGAGTGAGAGTAGGGTAGTGTACCCCCTGTAAAGACGTCTGTTTTTCCACTTATACACTATTCTTTAATGTGGCATCATGATGTTGCAGAAGTATAGAAGTAACGCGATGTGGGAAAGAGCAGGCTAAATTTCTCTTGAAAGAGATTACTGTCACAGCTCTCCCCTGAAGCCTGCTCTTACAGGTTAAGTTACTTCATTAGACGGTAGAGTGGTAGGAGTTGCTGCCTCTACCTCGTAGACTCTGGAGATAGCGTCTGTTATGATGTTATCCGAGCCCTTAATGAAGAATATCTCCAGGTTAAAGTTCTGCAGGTACAGAGCTCAGCGTAGAAGACGTTGATTGCTGAATTGGGATTGTTGCAGAAATCGTAAGAGATTGTGGTCTGAATAGATGGTAATGGACCGATTACCTTGTAGGTAAGGTTCGAAATGTTGAAGGTTCAGGACGATGGAGAGGAGTGTTTTTATGGTGCTATAGTTCCTCTGATGAAGCTTCATTTTGTAGCTGTAGTAGCTGACAGGAAGAACCTCTTCGCCATGCTGTTGCATTAGAACGCCTCCGATGCCGGTGCCATTTGCGTCGACATTGATGATGAAGGGCTTCGTAATATCTGGAGAGGCGAGAATGGGATTAGAACATAGCAGAGACTTTAGTTGTTCAAAGGCAACGGTCTGTTGAATGGTCCAATGATACTGTTGCTTGGGGCTGGGCAGATTAATCAGTGGTGTCGCTACTGTACTGAATTTTTTTACAAACCTACGATAGCAAGATGCAAGGCCAAGGAAGCGCAGGAGCTGCTTCCTGGTTGTGGGTAATGCTGAATGGCTCGAGTATGAATGGCTAAAGGAGCTAGGCTGCCATTTCCTATCACATGACCAAGATAACGCACTTTACCTTTAGCAAAGGTGGACTTGCCCAAGTTGATGGTAAGGCCAGCTGTCAGGAGCTTTAAGAACAATCGTTGCAGCTGGAGCAGATGTTCGTTCCAGGTGTCATTTGCCACAACGATGTCATCCAAGTAGGCTTAGGTGTGAACTAGGCCATGGATGACGCGGTTGACAGCTCGCTGGAAGGTGGCCAGGGCATTAAAAAGTAAAAAAGGAAGGCGTTCATATCTGTACAGGCCAAAAGGAGTGATCAAGGCAGATATTTCCTTAACCCGCTCTGTCAGACTAATCTGATAATAGCTCTTTTACAAGTCTATGTGGGAAAGATAAGTAGCATTACCTACGGCGTCAAGGATATTGTTTATACGAGGTAAAGGGTAAGCATCCTTGACGGACACGAGGTTCAGTTTCCTATAGTCTGAACATAATCGTACTACCGTGAGGTTTCGGCACCAAGATGCAGGGTGAGGCCCAGGGGGACTCAAGGGGTGGCCAGCCCATGATCCAGAAGGTACTGTACCTCAGCACGCGTAACTTCCTTTTTGTACGGGCTAATGCGGTAGAAAGATTAACGAATCGGCCGGGTATCAGGAAGTAGCTGGATGTCGTGTTGAACCACATTACATTCCTTGGGATCATCGCTGAACAGCTTCTGATGTTCTTTGAATACTCTGATGAGAGGAGCACTATTACAGTCCAGCTACTATTACATAGTACTACTACTATTACATAGTAGCTGGTCTAAGGTCTAAGAACTTCCGAGTTGGAAGGCACTGACTCAGAGTTAGTGCTTTCGGGAGGAGAAGCAGGGAAGGTCTCACTGTGGAGGTATGGATCTTGAAAGGTGGAGAGAGATACTAACACAGTAAGGGGTGTACCTTTATACTTCTTCAAAAGACTGACGTGGCACAACTGGGTCCTCCGCCGCCTATCTGGAGTCTCAAGAACGTAGTTGGGGTTGTTTCTGCACTCCTTAATGCGATAAGGTCCTGAAAATTCATTTTGCAATGGAGAACCAGGTATCGGAAAATATGCTAAAACGAAGTCTCCTGCTTTAAATTTCCTGATTTTACTATGTTTGTCAAAATGAGTCTTCATCCTATCTTGAGCTTTTAATAAATTATCGTGGGCAAATTCATGCACTCGCTCTAGAATGTGCTTAAAGTTTTGAAGAAACTGGGGCACATACAGAGGGTCACTGAAGGTGGCATTACGTAGAGAGTCTTTAAAAGCTTTAAGAGGAGTACGGCACTTACGTCCGTAGAGCATCTCATAAGGAGACACTCCTAGAGACTCATTGGGGAGACTTCTGAAAACGCACATGATGATATCAAGTTGCTTATCCCAGTCTTTCATTGCAAAATTTCTTAACGAGTGATTTTATAGTTTGGTGACTACGTTCAAGAGAACCCTGTGAAGCAGGATGATAGGGGCTGATAGGATGATAGGGTGAAGTTGGTGCCACAGTCACTTTGAATCTCACGAGGAAATCCATATTGTGTAAAGATCTTCAACAGTTGCTTCACCACAGTAGCAGCCGTAATGTTCTTTACAGGAACTGCTATGGGGAATCTGGTGGTTGGACACGGGATGGTTAGTATATAAGCGTTGCCAGAGCTGGTCCGGGGTAAAGGACCAACACAGTCTGTGATGAGTCTGAAAAGGTTCCGAAGGCACCGGGATAGGAATCAGAGGAGCCTTAGAAATAGAGATGTTGGGTTTTCCTTCCAACTGACATGTATGACACTGTTGTACATAAGTTTTTACATCCTTAATCATACCCGGCCAGTAGTAGTCTTGTCTGATGGCGTGATAGGTTTTATTAAAACCGTAGTGAGAAAGCGCTCCATGGGCCAGGTGTAGAATATCGGGTCGTAGGCTGGTGGGAACTACTAGTTGGTCGACATTAGCCCAATCGTCATCCTCCGTTAGTTTACTGGGTCGGTACCTCCGGTAGAGCAATTGCTTCTCTATAAAGAACCCAGGAATACTATCAGATTGAGTCTCGGC